AGATAGAAATCTTTTATTCAATCAAGATATTATTCATTATACACGAGTCAATCCTAATAAAACACATAAACACAAGCATATACAAAGAATCAAATAAAGGAAAAATAAATAAATTCTACACAGGGACAAAAATAACTTCTTTTAAAACTCAGTCGGATCGAATGAGTTGTTTCAGTAGAAATTCTCCACCACTGTTGAACTGAGCCAAGCAGCTAGACTAGGCTTGACCCTAGAACACCAAGCATTTACCCTTCATATCACCCAACTCACCAAGCTAGTAGCCAAGAGATCTTCTATGTTCAGCTTCTTCAACTTCGAAAAGCTGCAACATCAAATCAATCAAACCCATAGTCAGAATAACTTCAAGAGGCTCCCGTTGCAGGCCCTCCCCACGCCATGGAGAGGGGCTACCATAGCTACCAAACGATTCTCCTGGCTCTTACTCGCACCCTCCACCTTGCTACTAGCCTCAACTGTCGAATGCATATTTTGAGAAGGTTGAAGACCAATCTTTTGTTCAACTTGTTCATCTTTTCCCCCAGAGGCATCTGATACTACATTCAGGCTTAGCTAACTAGCATTTTCTATACAAGAATCTTAGCCGACAAGCTTGTTATAAATAACAAACAATATAAGTCAAAAAGAAAAGAAAAACATAATATGCATTTTATTTGTTACTTTCTAAGTAAGATTTTACATACGATCTGAACCACATTAATGCTAAAGTTGAAAAGTTGTAAGAGCTTTATCCAACTCGCCAGCATCACCCAAAGTAAGCAACCCCTCTAGCATTAGTCCAGCCGCCCCCTCAGTCCGCAAAAGAGGATCCATAGTCCAGTTTTCCATTATGAGTCTAACTCCATCGAATATTGGATAGCACTTGGAGAAAGCCATCTCCCTGAGCCATTCAACGACTTCGTCACCTTGCTGAGAGCTACAGTTCACACCTCTAAATCATTAACATGACCAAAGCCTAGGCTTGGTTTGAGAGGGCTTCTCCTTCCATAATAGTTTCTTTAAAAGCAACTTCAGATAAAACGATGGTATAAAGTTATGGTTCTTAAAACCCATACTAGAGTTTAAATAAAAATTTTTTGGTACTTTTTAACATCAAAAAACTCATTACTACCATTTGCTTGTATATTTTTTAAGAGAAGAAAAAATACCCCTAATATTTTTAGATTAGTTACATAAATAAAATATTTTTATACTTTTATATTAGTTTTATGATGCATATAACATCCATTCCAGCCATCTCCTCAATGGTAGTTATCCGCTTCGTAATTACTCCCTACTAACACATATGAGGAGACCCAATAGCCATGATAACTGAAAGCACTGTGCACATGGCGATCAGAATTCCACCTATCAAAAGAACAAGTAGCTTGTAATGCCATTATGATGTTTTTGGTGTTGAATCTGCTACATGAATATGTCTCCTCGATCATGCCAACTGCAATGGAGCAGATGAAAAGTTTCCAATGGAGGTAAGAACCTTCTGGAAGTAACAGACCTGGTCGGTGCCATCGAAAATATGGGCATCCTTTCTAAGGATGTGTAGAAACTAGTGGCGATGACGGTTGTCTCAATCTCTCCTTATTTAAACGTTGGAGTTCTTTGTGATGGGAAAAAATTCAATAGTGTGAGCAGACAAGATTGAAGGGAATCACTAGGTGGGCGTCAACAAGGATACTGAAGAGCAAGAATGTTTAAGCGGCTATTTTGGACATTTTCATTTTTGGTACAATTGAACAAAGGGCCAAACCTATAGGGATTTCACAATCTGAGATGGTGAAGAAGTGACATTGCGGTTGAGGCAACATTCAGAGACAGAGTTATACCAAATAAAAGCGACATGTTTTATCAGCATTCTCTACAACAGAATGGCGCTCTACTGCATTCTCAAACTAGCCCCTACTCACCACAAAATGAGTCTTCGTTGGGTGAGTTCTAAGGATAAAAGTTCAACCAGACATCATATGTAGGGTTGTTAACACAACTTGTTATTAATGAGCAGTTCGCGTTCGGCTCGTTAAGAAACTTGTGTTTAATTCGTTCACTAAGTTAACGAGTCGAACATGAACATTTTTTCTAGACTCTTGTTTTGGCTCAAAATATTTAAATTATATATATATATATATAATTGATGAGTTATATTTTTAAAAAAATTAATTGACTATAAGGATAAAAGGATTTATAACCAATTAAAATTCTTAATTAAAAAATAAAGTAAATTATATTAAATTATATTTAAATGATATTTTTATATCCATAATAAGATCTTA